ATTATATGAATTTAAATTGTTGCTAACATAAATTGCTTTCATATAATAATTACACTATATGAATATAAATTATTACAAACAGGATTTAAAATAATTTACATACATACCAATGTCATTCTAATATGAAAACAGGATGTGTAACATATTAAAATGTTTAAATCCATTCTAAAAAAGTTTCTGATGTGAGCAGAGAGGGGCTATTTTCGGGTATAAAACACAGAATTTCTTAGCTTATCGTCATCAGTTCAAGCAACAGCAGCCCACAGCAGTACCAAAAGCAGTCAGCACTCAGCAGCAGAACAGCCTTCTTCGCCAACCAACAATCAGCCAGCAGATTACCAGACCTCTTCGACAAGCCATCATACTTAGAAAAATACTTAAATTTCCACAAGCTATGTAAGTACTATTTTTTATATTGTTATTTATTAAATTTAACATCTAAACTTCTTTTTTAAAATAAAAAAAATAAATTAAATAAAATAGAATAATAACAATGTATCGTTGTAATATAGCTTTATAATATTACTATGAACGTTATATCATGTAGGTATGACTTTAGATAGAAATTCTATCTAAAACCGTGCTTACAAACTTAAAGATATTTCATCAGATCAGATTATATAAAATAAAAACCTTACTGCAGAACCTTACTGTAGAAAAACAAGTGTGAAAAAACCTATGAAAAAAAGTAGTGGTTTAAGACGGTTTCTCAACTCTCACTTTTAGTTACTATCATAAAAGCTGTTTTCTTTTTTGTTAAGTTATGTTTAAATAAAATAAATAATACGTTATAATTATGTGACTGTATGACCACACTCCGCGATATAGAAAACTGCTGTATCAATGTATCATAGATTTACATAGATAAGATAAAACATCGGGCTTATCAGCCATGGATAAAGTGTTTAAATTTTTTTGAGGTTTTAAGGGTTCTATATTATCACGAACTAAGATATATTATCTTAGTTCATGCTTATTATTGATAATTATTATTATAACTTAACCTCAAAATCTGACTGTACTAGTACACACTGGTGTACACTGGCCGACACCGTGAATTTCAACGGTGTGGTCAATTATGTGATTATGGAATCAGTGTTCACGTGTAGTGTGTACTAGTACAGTCAGATGGAAAAACGCTATTACGGTTATCTATAGTTTATCAACGTTGAAATACTTTCGCTGATTATAAATATTTGGTTTTGATAATGCGATAGTTGTATTCATGAAGATTAGAGCTGATAAGGAGAACAAACTCCTATAGCCGCTCGTTTATAAAGCGGCCTGTCAAATAAGTCGCACGGTTATTCTGCCAGGAGCTCTCTAATCTTCATGGTTGTATTATACGTATAATATTATTTTACATAAAAATGTTTTAATTTAAAAAACATTCAATAATGTTTACTATCTGTATTTAATTTTAGATTTATATATTATATTTTTTTATACTAATGTATTCAGGTAAATTACAGATAATGAATTTTTGGTATACATATGATTATTGTTGTGAACAAATTCAATATTATGAAGAACAGATTGTAATATTAACGAAGATAATTGATGAAAATAAAATTAAAGAGAGATACGAATATAAAAATCTTAAAAAAAAAATTAGAAACCTCAAATATAATATTTATTTAAGTAGAACAAACTCTAAACCGAATTTTTCTTATATAAAAGAGTTAAATGCTAAATTAATTTTATTAAGAGAAAAAAAATAGATATATGTCGAAAATATAGTGATTTATATGTTACAAATTTTCGAAGACGAGAACACTGTTTTGGTAAAAGATTAGATTTTATTACAACCGCAGAATCTAAGCGCGAAAGGTTTAGATCAGGTTAAAAAATTTTTTTTTAAATTATGAATAATTTGTAAATATATTATAAATTTATATTTATGTACACAGGTAATCAATGTTTTTTTTATAGTTTATAATATAGTATTGTTGTTTTCTTTACGTTATTATTAAATTATTCATTAATTTCTATAAACTAAATATAATCATTGAAAACTATAGCTTGTACATGATCTGTCGTCATAGTTAATTTTTATTTTGATATAAATGTTTATATTATATTTGGTTTCATAAAATATTATAAGCATTTATATATGAACTAACCTCAATAAAGAAACGTTTATATTTAAATATATATATAAATATATAGGTCAGTCAGAGTGATTAATCACTATGCCAGAAAAATCACAAGAGCTGTTGAGATCTGCGACAACAAACAAATATATGAATGTTTATGCAAACTTTTGAAACTTCCGATGACTATGGAACTTTTAGAAGCCACTGAAATTGGTCGAGTAGTCAACAAATTAAGAAGCAGAGGTGGAGTCGTAGGCAAATTAGCAGAAAGAGTGGTCATAACATGGAAATATGTTGTAAAAAAAGAGTTAACCGAGCAATATTTTTCTAAGGAGATTTTTAGTCCTTAAGAAATATCAATAAATTAAGATTAACATGTAATATTTTCTTGTATAAAAAGTTAAATATAAAATAAAATAATGAATTTTGGACATTAATATACATTATTTTATAACTAGTAGTTAGTTTACAAATTATATTCATTTTTCTAGAATAAAAAAAAAATGGAGTCATCACTAATAACTGAAAAAATCAACGCCATCTTGAGACAACGCAAGGAAAACGAACAAGGCATGAGAATAGCCAAATTCAATTTTAGGAAAAATCTGAATTGTATTAATATGAAAATAGCAAAAGCAAGTCTAAAAACAACTAAAAATAAATTAATAGAAGAAAAACAAAAAATATTACATGAATATAAGAGTTCATTATACATTGACTTTCTTTGCGAAAAAAGTATCCAAAGAGGGCTCAGCGATTTGTATGAACAATTAGACAGTATATAATAATATATTTACTGATAATATTCTGTTTTTCGAAAAATAAAAATCAATATAAATAAATTATTTTTGTTATTATTTATTATTTTATCTTATAATTATATATCGAATGATATTGAAGTAAATTATAACCTATATCATTTTGTGTATATAATATCTAACGAAGGATAATAAATGTTTTTAATGTTTAATACTGTTCAAGTTTTATAATCGTACAAATAAAACTAATTTAATAAAAATTTAGATTAAAAAAAACGTATCAATTTTCTAACATAATGAGCGTATAAACAATGTACCAGTATTAATAGTTAGTTTTGAAATTCTATGTAATTTTCAGAATCATGAGCTCAGAAATAAACATTATTAAAAGCAGAATTCTAGCAGTAGAACAACAGGTGCGTGCAAATAGACGCTATTGTAACGAGAAACAGAAAGCATTTCGAAAAGTAATTGTAAAAATTAATAATAGTATGAAGAAACATTTAAATTTAAAAATTGAGTTGATAAATGAACATAATAGATTCCAAAACTATTCAAGTGAATGTAAAGCAGATCTTCAGTATCGGTTAACAGAACTAAGCAATCGGTTAAGAGAATTAGAATCTAAGTAATTTCTTATTGTATTAATCAATTTTTTATAATAATTTAGAATTAATACTATTATCATATTTATGAAAAAAAAAAAAAAAAAAAAAAAAATATTCTAAATTGCTTGCATAAGATTTTTTTTTTTTAAAAAAAGAAGTTGATGTTATAATAAATTGTTTCAATATTATTATTATTGCTTATACCCATATTTTTATTTAATCTATTTTCAGTTTCACAATGAAAAGAAAAACGGTTACAAAACGTCAGCGGATGACATCTTCTGATGAAGGTTTATTTGAAATTGAAAGGTTTAAAAAATGTTCGAAAACATTTGTGATTAAGAATACTTTAGATTTTATAGACTATATGCTTTTTTTTAACTATGTTAGAGATAAATTAATTTTAAAGTTAAAACAATCATGTTTACAATCATCTATAAAATTTAATTTACATGTGGATAGTGTATACGAACGAATAATTACTCAAGAAGTTCAGGACATAGCATTCAAAACTTCTAATACACTTGCATGTAATTCATCCGATTTCAATAAATTATTAAATAGGATGTTCGATAAATTATTATCCGAGCAAGACCAGTTTTTAGCGAAAGGATCTGGGTGGTCCCTTACGACTATAGATGTATTACAATTGAGAATTAATATAGTGAATCCTCTCAGGGGAGAAACGTATATAGATCTACCTGAATTTATGAAAGATAAAAAAGCAATTATAAATGTAAAAAATAACGATGATAAATGTTTTAAATATTCAATACTATCTAAATTCGATAATCGTTCGAATAAAACTTATTTAAATAAAAAATATTTTAAAATGTTAGAAAAAAAAAGTGGTTTAGATTTTAAATGTATTGATTTTCCAACACCCATCAGTCAGATGAAAAAATTTGAACGTGTAAACGATGTATCAATTAATCTTTATAGTTTAAATGATAAAGATCATATTTTTCCTCTGTATATATGTGATATTGAAAAAAAAAAACATTTTGATCTATTTTTGTTTAATAATGATGAAACATCGCATTACTGTTATATAAAAAATTTTTCAAGATTCGTTAGAAGTCAGAAAACTAAAAACTGTTCCAAGCTAATTATCTGTAAAAGATGTTTTACTACTTTCGGGAATAATCCATGTAAGAGCAAACTTTGGGGCATGAAAGGATTGATTGAACATCAGCATAATTGTAGAAAGAACCAATTAGGGAGACCTATAATGTTTGAAGAGGGAGATGATGAATTTATTTATTTTAAAAATTATAAAAATACTAAAAGGATACCAATTGTTATTTATGCAGATTTCGAATGTATTTTAACTCCTAAAAAACCTAATGAATACATTCAGAGTTGTGAAAAAAAAAAAAAAAACACATGTTACACATTTGCATGAAATTATGAGCTATGGGTTTTATGTAAAAGTCAACTATGATATTATACCAAAAGAGCTAGTAAAACAGTTTAAAATTCCTAGAAAGGTGATTATTTATAGAGGTGAAAATGCAGCTAAAAAATTTATGGAAAATATGATTGATATCGGAAATAATATCAAAACACTTTACAAGACTAATACACCAATGAATAAATTAAGTGAAAAAGAAGAAAAAAATTTTCAAAGAATTAAAAGATGTGAAAAATGTTCAAAACATTTTAAAAAAAATAATTTAATTAAAGTTCGAGATCACTGTCATTTTACTGGTAAATATAGACAATGTCTTTGTCTCGAATGTAACTTTCAAATAACTAATCCGTCATTCATTCCAATTTTCTTTCATAATTTATCGTATGATAGTCATTTCATAATTCGGGAACTCGGTTGCGATGATCACAATATTCAAGTTATTCCTAATTCATCAGAAAAATATATATCTTTTAGCAAGGAAATCGCATACAAATTTAGTATAAAATTTGTTGATACATTCCGTTTTATGAGTGAGTCATTAAGTAAACTTGCAGAAAAATTATCTGAAGATAAGTCGAGATTTAGAGAAACTCTTAAAATATTTTCTACGAAAGCACTAGATTTAGTTACACGAAAAGGAGTCTTCCCTTATGAATATGTCGATAGTTGGAGTAAACTAGATGATACTTTTTTACCATCAAAGCTAGAATTTTATAACTCTTTAACAGACGAAGGAATTAGTGATGAAGATTATAAACATGCTGAAAATATATGGCAAACATTTGATATAAAGACTATAGTGAATATAGCGATCTTTATTTAAAAACTGATGTTGTCATACTAGCTGACGTGTTCGAAAATTTTAGAGACTTATGTTTATCTACTCTCGAACTAGATCCTGCTCATTATATGACTGCTCCCGGGTTTGCTTTTGACTGTATGCTGAAGTATACCAAGGTCAAATTATCAAGGCTAATGGATTATGACATGTTGCTCCTCTTCGAAAAGTCAATTAGAGGCGGGATTTGCCAATCAACTAAAAGGTATGTCAAAGCAAACATACCAAATATCGAAGGATTGGACTTTAATTCGAATGAACCGATCACATGGATTACATATCTCGACTGTGTGAATTTGTATGGGAAGTCTATGTTAACAGAATTACCTTTTAAAGATTTTGAATGGATAGACGATCTCGACATAGATGTAACCAAAATTGCTGATGATTCTAAAGTTGGATATATATTAGAAGTTGATATTGAGTATCCTAAACATCTTCATAAAAATCATAACGATTTTCCATTTTTACCTTTTAATGAATGTCCACCAAATTCGAAAGTTAAAAAATTACTCACTACACTATCATCGAAAAAAAACTATGTAGTTCATTATAAAAATTTGAAACAGGCGATCGCGAATGGTATTGTAGTAACGAAAATTCATAGAGCTATCCGCTTTTCTCAAAGTAAATGGATGGCATCATACATTAAATTATGTACATCTATGAGAGTACTAGCTAAAAACGAGTTTGAGAAGGATTTCTGGAAGTTGTTAATTAATAGCGTTTTTGGTAAATGTATGGAGAATGTTCGAGCAAGAACTTCTATAAAACTGGTTTCTTCAGAAAAAAAAGCAAGGAAATTAATGGCAAAAACTAGTTTTAAAGACAGAACTATATATTCCAAGAATCTCATGGCCATTCATCAGCATAAAGAGACAATTAAATTCGATAAGGCAATTTATGTAGGATTTGCAATTTTAGACGTTTCGAAAACATTTATGTATGACTTCCATTATAATGTCATGAAGAAAAGGTATGGTACTAAAATTAGTTCTTTATATTCGGATACTGATTCTTTAATATATGCTATCCAAACAACAAATTTTTTTGACGATTTAAAAAATAGTTTATTACCATATTTTGACACATCTAATTATCCTAAAGACCATTGTTGTTTTAGTGAAATTCATAAGAACCAGCCAGGGTTTTTTAAGGACGAAATGAAATCAATTATAATTAAAGAATTCGTATCATTAAGACCTAAATTATATGCCTATAAAACTGTAGATGGTACTGAAAAAAAAAAGGCAAAAGGTGTAAAGAAATATATAATTAAAAATCACATGCAATTTAATAATTATATGGATATACTAAACGCCTTTATAAACCATAGAACTCTCAAGGATGAACAAACTCATAGAAAAATGAATTTTATCCAATCAAATAAACATGTTGTTCATTCGAAAACAATGAACAAACTTGTTCTAAGCGCAAACGATGATAAACGTTATATAATGGATGACAGGATTAATACTTTAGCTTATGGTCACTATAAACTTAATGGTTTATTATAAAAAGCGTTATCTAGCGGAACAAAATACAACAGTATTATTATTATTTTCATTGATTCATTTACCACTAGATGTCGCTTTTTATTTTTTTTTTTATCGATTGTGGATACATTAGGTTAACCAAACAGACTATTGAGGATCAGGAGATCATGTGAAATAATTAATTCGACTTAAAAAAACTTAAATTTTTTTATTTTATTTAAAAAAAAATTAGCAAAATATTATACATAAAAAATTATGTTGAAATATCTGATGATGTTATCCATGAATTTTGGCTTGAATCAAAACCTAACCATTTAACAAGCATTTTATTCCCAACTTTTTTTACAATACGTTCAATGAGAAAGGTGTTTGGAAAATCAGTTAATTTAATTTCCTGTTCATAAAAACCACCTATGATTATATTGTCTGATTTATCCTTTAGTTGATAAGTTACTGGATTTGTCGGTAAAACTTTTGAAACTGTAAATATTTCCGTTGTCCAATTTGGTGTATATCCTTTACTAAATATATGTTTATACTTAGATATTCTTACTTTGTCATTAACTTTAAATTTTGGATAATATAATGTATCATTTATTTGTGTATTAAATTTAATTTTGTTTGTATCCATTCGAGCTTCATTCGGTGTACATTTGATTGTTCTATGTTTTGTATTATTATAATTTTGTATAATTTTTGATAGTGTATTATACCAATTCCATGTACCAGTAGCAGTAAAATGTCTATATATATTATTTTTAAGACTTTGGATCACGCGTTCCGCGATTGCACATTTAATAACACTGTATGAACTGTAATGTCTAATTTTATATTTTTTCATTAAATCTTGAAATTGAGCATTGTAAAATTCTGTACCATTATCTGTCTGTAATAATTTCGGATGAGCTTTTTTCAATATATTAAACATACCTTTTGTGCATTCTTTCGATGTTTTATTTTTCAACGCCTCAAGCCAAACGTACTTACTATATGTATCTATAACAACTAAAATAAACTTGAAGCCATAATTTTGTCTAGAATGAGATTGCATGTCCATTAAATCAGCTTGCCAGAGGTCATCAATAAACCGCGTTACTACACTACGTCTAGGAAATATTTTTCTCGCTGGTCGATGTAACTCATTAGCTATACTCTCTAAGGTAGTCATTATACTATAATATTTCTCTCACGTAGTTCTTCTAAAATAGATATTATTTCATTATTCACACCAGTATTACCAACACTTTGTGATGATGTCAAAAGATTTAATCTAGTTACTAGCTCATTCGGATCGTCATAATAAACTAATTGGGTTTGAGGTAAGACATCTTTATATAAACCAGAACCTTTCATAGTCTTTGGTGATGAAGTAAAATTAAACATCTTTTCAACTACGGGATTTGTAGACATGGAACTGTTTGCTTCTGGATTAAAATCAAATGGTTCAAATTCTTGTGTTATTTTTCTGCGTTTAGCGCTTGAACTAGATAAATGATTGTTAAATGATTTTAAATTAATTCGAGGAGTTGTATTCTCGTTAATTTTACTTATTTCTTCGTTAAACTGTTTTTCCTCCATTTTCATTCGATCATACAGTGGTTTTACAACAGTCACCCATTTATGGTACCTCGAGGTTCTAGGTTTTCCATCTGCGTTTCGCAGAAACGAAACGTTGCTTCGGCAAGTGTCCCATGCTTGGATGATTGAATGTGGGTTTAGCCCTGATACATTGAATGCACCGACGAAAGGTTGAACGAGCTATTACTCTACCCTTAATAGGCCAATAACGACGCCTGACCTCTGCAAGTAACGATTGAGGGCCACAGTGTAATAATTCGACATGAACATGGACGAAAATCATCTTCGTGATTTTGTGGTCACTTGCGAGAATAATTGGCTCCCTTTGATATTGTGGTATGTCGGCGTTTCTTAAGCGTCCACCAACTACCATAAGCCCATTTTTTAATTTGGGTTGTAATGATTTTAGCTTGCTTCGACAGGATATCTCCTTTCCGGATATTAGTGCTGAAATATCACTATTAAACGAGTCTATCTGCGCTCTTTTTAACAGAGTGTTGTCAGCTCTTTCTAACTCTTCAGCGGTAAGGTAACGTTTTGCCGGTTCTGCATGTTTTAATCTAAGATAGTCTAAAAATTTATGCATCCAGGCCACTGCTCTGCGTAGTTTATACCATTCAGAGTAAAAGTTAACTAGATCCCTTGTTGGTTCCCTCGTTATTAAAGCTAACCTTATAAGCTTTAATTCTGGGAGATCTACTGGTTTTGGCCACAGATTTGGGTCTTCCTTCCTACTCTTGTCATCTTGTTTCAACCACAATGGCCCTTGCCACCATAACAATGTTTCCTTTAAGTCTTGAGGTCTTATTCCTCTGGATAAAATATCAGCTGGATTCTCGTTGGAACTGATATAGTGCCATTGATGACTATTTGTTATCTCCAAAATTTGACATATCCTATTTGATACGTATGTCTTGAGACGGTTAGGTTGACTGTTTATCCATCCGAGAACTATTGTTGAATCAGTCCATAGCCAAAATTGAGAGATATCAATTTCCCAGGATTTTGCAATCCTTAGGCCTAATTGGGCTAAGACTAATGCACCACCAAGTTCTAGGCGTGGAATTGTAGCACCGGTGAGTGGTGCTACACGTGTTTTTGCGCATATCAATTTTACATGCCATCTACCAAGGTGATCTTTACTTCTAACGTAAATGCAAGCGCCATACGCATCTTGTGAATCTCAAATTCTTGGGATGGTGCTTCCTTCGCCTTTCTTGGAATCTCTAGTGTTTGAAGTTCTACAAGATCTGTCCAGAACTGGTGCCATCTTGACTTTATATCAGCTGGCAGAGGAGAGTCCCAATTAATTTTCATCTGCCACAGTTGTTGAAGGAACACCTTACCTTTCACGAGAACTGGAGCTAAAAATCCAAGCGGGTCAAAGATGCTGTTCAGAGATGATAAAAGGGCTCGTTTGGTTATCATAGCTTCTAACTTGTTATTTTCCAAATTAAATTTGAACACATCTGTTGTAGGATTCCAGCACAGACCTAACGATTTAATTGTATCCTGGTCTCCTAACTTCAACACAAATAAGGGATCGTCATTGGAACCTTCAATTTTTTTCAATATTGTGACCGAATTCGAGCACCATTTTCGTAATGGAAGCTTGGCTGAGCTGAGAATGCTTGAAACATCTTGTTGCAACTTTAAACATTCTTCTTCAGAATCACCCCCAGTCATAATATCATCCATATAAAAATCTCGCCTTATTGTTTTTGCTGCGTTTGGAAAAAGTACTTCATTTTGACTAGCTAATTCATCCAAACACTTCGTTGTCATAAAGGAGGCCGGAGTCGTACCATAAGTCACTGTATTCAATCTGTATTTTCGCAATACGTCGCTAGGATGCTCTCGCCAAACTATCCGTTGAAGATCTCGATCTTCCTTGGCCACTAATACCTGCCTAAACATCTTCTCAATGTCAGCGGTAATAACGAATTGATGCTTACGAAACCGACTCAGAATAGAAATTAAATCTTCTTGAATACTTGGACCACGCATTAGCACATCATTCAATGCAATACCATTCGATCCTCTTGCGGACGCATCAAACACGACTCTGACTTTCGTTGTTAAACTAGATGATTTGATGACAGCATGATGTGGTAAATAGAACGTGGGCCTAGCTGTAATATCATCTTTAATCTCTTCCATGTGGCCCATTTTTATGTACTCGGTCATGAATTTGTTATACTCCATGCGTAGTTGATCGTCACGCTGAAGCCTTCTCTCAACGTTTATGAAACGACAGGTTGCCATATTCAAGCTACAACCTAGCTCGTTGACTCTTGGCCTTGTCGGTAATCGTAAAACAAAACGACCATCCGAGTTTCTAGTGACTGTTTTCATGAAATGATCCACAGCTTCTTGTTCCTCCGAAAATCGTAGGTTAGTTTTTGAAGAGCGGCCGAATGGCTGGTTCTCTTCACGTTGAATTGCCTCCCAGTCTTCATCTAGTGGCCTTCCAACTCCTAAAAGACAGGTTGCCACAACTTCACCAGTTACAACCCATCCTAGCTTGGTTCCTTGTAGTGATACGTTGCCAATCTCTAATGGAATTCTTTCAGGAGTCACAATGTCGAAAAATACACCTGCTCCTATTAATATATCAACTGGGCCTGCTTGATCGAAATTGGGATCAGCTAATTGCATGGATAATTCCTCGTTAATTTTCCAACCATCCCTTGGTTTCCTGCATGATGGAAGATCGCTTACTATATTCGGTAAAACATGACATGTGATATCTAGATTGAATGTTGAGACACATGACAGTAATTGAATGTTGACTCTTGAAGAGGTTTGCAACTGGCTTGTACCAATTCCACACACTGGTAATACCACCCTCTCACTGGGTAATTTCAGCTTGTTTTGCAGACCCTTAGATATAAAATTCAATTGTGACCCACTGTCTAACACTGTACGACATTTATGAGCCTTGCCATTTATATCTCTAATTGTAACTACCGCGGTTGACAAGAAAACATAACTATTTGTTAATGTAGCAGCCATTGAATGTGCATGTCCTTGAAAAGTTGACGCACGCGTAGGGCTTACCTCCCGTGCATCATTCGTTACGTTGTCATTGGTATTGTCTGGTCTTCCCTCAAGATGAAGTAGTGTATTATGCCTGCGATGACAACGACCACATGAATACTTGGACTTGCAAACATTCGCTAAATGAAAACCTGATAAACAGTTAAAACAAAGTCTAGCGTCTCTTATTACATTTAGGCGTTCTATTATGGTAAGTTTCTTAAAGCTTTCACAAGTATATATTCTGTGCGGACCCTTACACTTAGGACAGACATCATGTTCCGTTCCCACCATTAGAGCGAACTTCTTCGGTTTTTGCTCATATTCCTTCCCCTTTGAATTATTTCGCTGACTGTCTACTTCACCAGAAATCTGTTTACTATAATCAGAATTCTCTAATGCAA